AAATGTAGATTTTGAGATTATCCGTTAATCCTAAATTAAAGTTAAGGTTAGGAGAGATTATGAAGCCCAGGCGAGGTCGAAATAGCAGTCCATCTCGGATTGGAATACGTATTAGGAAACAAGGCTAGGGGAAATTCGGGTGAAACGTGAGGCCTACTGATATGATTGCGAAAAAATTCAACTGCAAGTCATTCATCACCTCATTTGATTTAGCATGACAATAAATGTTATTCAAGAGTTAATGATAGTATCAAATTCTACTTTCAGTGAATATACATTCAAGATGCCTTCCGTAATCACAAATAACTATTAATGCTTGTCTACTCTTAGGAGGGGTTCGAACTAATATATCAAAAGCAATACAAATTACTGAAATTAGCGATAACTAGTAAAAATTATCCAAAGTTTTTCAAGTATATCCAGGATATTATTGGTTTTACTACACTGCCTCATTGTAAAAATTCTGGCACTGTGCAACCTCACCCTGATGAGTACTCGATAGTGATCTGCCGATCCTTCGCCAACCGACTGGTGGTCGCCCGTCCTTGAATGCGTCCTAAAATAACAAGAGTCTCTTGTCTCTACGGCGACACCATTTTTGTCGTTGCTGTTGGTACGACAGGACAGTCCAGCAAACTGGCTGTTCGGCAGCTGGACCTGAGCTCCAAATGCATTTTTCTCGGGAGAGAAGCATAAATCTGTCTGAGGCTGTGCTGAACATTGCTCACACTTGCTTTGTACCATTTTTGGTGGCAGCTGCTCTAACGATGCAGAAGGTGAAGATGTGATTCTACTGGAATGGTGATGAAGTGCTGGTGGCCTTGTTTCTTCTAGCTTAGCTGGCGAACCTGATTCGAATCGACAGTTCAGCCTACTCACGTCGAAGGGGTCATTACTGTTGCTTTGAGAGTAATTGTAAGAATTAGAACATGGGACAATTTGCTGGTGAGGAAGATCATGTTTGGCAAGCCCAAGATTTGGATGAGAAAGTACATGTTTTTTGTGGGAATTTGCCTGAGATTGTGCAGTAGGCTTGCACGATTGGTAATCTTTGTTCATTGATACACTGAGTCTAATTCGATTTATCCTGCTTCCTAATGGAGTATCCATGCCCTTATTAGGTCTACAGACAGCAAATGATCTCTCGGATGCACTGGCAACAAAAACTTGGCAAGATGAGTCGGCTTTTCGAGGCGGTTTTTCGATACGTATAGAGGAAGGCAGAGGACGAGGGTTCTCCTGACGCCACTTCGATTCCGGATGGCCCAACAGTGGTTTAATGGTGCAGTTGGGATGATTTTGTTCATTAGGCCAAAGCGAAAAATTAAGGTGACCATCATTGCAAGATCTGCCAACGCCAGCAATCACATGAAAGTCATTATTGTTAAATGAGCAGGGGCATCCGAAGGCATCGTCACCAGAACCATTACAAGAATGGCTGCATGTAAGATCGGAAGAACCGATTCCACTGACTCCGTGACGAATAGTGCAGACTGCAGCACCTGCATTTTCTAAGTCCCGACCGGAAAAACCAGCTCCCCTGTAACCTTCCGGTCTATGGGCCCGTGAAGGCTGGCTGAAGAGCCATGGGTCAACAGAGACGTGGCAATGTGGTGAGAGTTGGCAGGAAATGCCGCCGCCGGAGGTCGGTAAAGCTACGCAAGAGGGCGGAACAAATCCTTGAATAGGCAGTCGAGGAGATGGAGAGGCTAACCATGTGGTTTGATTGCTTAGAAAGGCAGGACAAATTTGTCTTGATCCAAGCAAGTGCATCGGGAGACCAATCGAATCATAAAAGTTCATGCCTGAGCGACGAGACGTATGTGTAAATAGTCATTCATGTACTCACTAGACCTATAGATGAGCTATAGAAAACATACAAGTAGGTTGATGTATAAGACTTTAGTTACCATGACAGTAAAACTAACCACAATGCTAATGCAAAGTGGAGTGACAAATGTTATCACACGTAAATCAGGCCAAATAAAAGCAAAGGTCATAAGTACTTGTGTATTTGGAATTAGTTCCCAAATCAAATGAAGGCAAAATCTGTCAGAGTTGACAGTATTTATCTTAAGCCTTGATCCCAGGTTCTACATTTTAAAATATAAAAAGTACTTTTTACGCTTATTCCTCCAATCAGGAGTGCAAAAAGAGACACATTTCGGAGTAGTTGAAATGGAGCTATACATAAAACAATCATGGCAAAAAGTCGAAAATATTATATCCTCCAATACTTATTGATCACATATCGCAGAGGTCCTTGATGTTTATAAGGCTCCACACTCTTCAGACCTTCCTATTATATCACCATTGCCTCTCCTTTCATGCCAAAAGGAAAGAAATAAAATTTAAAATGCCACCATGTTTACTCCACCTTCATCCTTGGTGATCTGATTTTGATTTATTTTGAGCGTGTTTGCTGAAGAGATCCGTTGGTCAGTCTCAAAAGGCGGTATCGGCAGCAATTTTAGTTTAATTGGACGACCAAATTGACGCAGTCCCCAAGATTCAATAAAAGAATGCTGAACTTTCTTCGGTCTTATAACAGAACTCACCTGAGCTGAATCTCATTCCTATCAGAACACTAGACTAAACACTGTATCAAGAAATCTAACTGACTTCTCGATACAAAAAAAGATTTAGCATTTGTAGAATAATTTTGTTCATGCAAGTTTACCTCTATGTGCACGAAGAGCTACAGACCGACAATGATGACAACAATAATTTATAACAGGGTGTAATTACTGTCCCAGTCCATCGAGCTATGAAGATCTTTTATGCTTATATGAGGTCAGACAAACTAGATCAGTCACACATTTCTGTTAGCATCCAAACTTTCTCTCTCTCTATATATATATATATATATTTATTTATTTATATATATTTATATATA